CTGATTTATTTCATCGTTCTGTTGAAGATAGCAACAAAAAGCACCTGTAATAAGCTTCCGATTGCTTTTAAAATAGCGAATTTCTCGTTGTCAAACTGTCATTGCTGTAGAGCAACCAGGATTCACTTCGAGTCCAGAAGAAGCATATTTCTTATACTAACCGAATTTGTACGGAACCAAAATAATGATATACATGTGACAAGATCACTTTGGTTCATTTTCAGATCTAATTTTCAAATTATTTTTTATTATTATTGTGCTATTATTCTTCTTACTATTTGGGTTATTTTACTACATTAGTTTGGTTTCGTTACACACCTTTTTTTGGTGTGTGTTGGTGATTCATTCCCACATACTTCTCTTAGCTAAATCCTGTTGTGTAGGAGAAGTTACCTCCTAGTTCCCTTAGGTAAATCCTGTATTCGTGGGCATGAAATACACTCCCTAGCCTTATCTGGTTTAGAGTTATTCCCACAGTTTCCTCAAATCTGTTATAAATTGGCAACCATTTGTTCAGCAAATTCAGTTGATTCAGTTGGTTTATTCTGAGCTATACTCAAGTTCTCAAGTCAAGCACTGGTTTAGTTCGAATGCTATATTCTCAATAACCCTTGTGTTACTCGTTCCCATTTATTTTGTTCCTGTTGTTGTTCTCCCCGCTATTGTTGTCAATAAACTCGTAAATCGTACACTCGTATCTGACGTAACTACGTCGACCGTTTTGGTCGTCTTACATACAACTATTATCAGAGTGATCAGAACAAACAAAAACTCGAAGCAAATTCATGCAACCTGCGTGAAAAAAGAGCAGGTCGGTTCCGAAAGGACCGATTGATTTGATTCTGCCGCTGATTGCATGAAACAGCACTTTTTCTCCGACGGGTTGAAGTAAGTTTCATTGATCCATTTTGAATGAAGAACAGAACAAGGAGAAACTTCAAAAAGATTTCCGTAAAGAAATAGCAAAGAAAAAACATCAAAACAACCACACAATTTCACATGCAGTTTTGAATAACATTAAGCAGCAAAAACTTATATGGCCACTTTTTATATTGCGCAACAAATACCTTCTCGTCAATGATTTCATCGTCCATGGAAAATGTAAAAGCTTGAATGATATCTGCACCTGCTCGAAGAAACTCGCGATGAACCTGGCGGACTGAAATGAACAATTTTTAATGAACCAATTTCAAAGTAATCACATCTAACCATTCACGATGAAATTTATCATCGTAGTGAGCCAATGGGAGCTCGCTCGGATATTTTCCCTTGGACATTATCTGTTCCTTGAAGCTCACAGTTTCCTTGTGCCTCGCTCGCGGAAAACTGTGAGCTTCAAGGGCTTCGAGGAACAGATAATGTTTGCTGACAAATATCCGAGCATATTTCGCGCCAAATGGAGGCTATTGTCTTTATATTTCTACCTTATATTAGTGC